CCCCAAAACCCCAAAACCCCAAAACCCCAAAACCCCATGTGAGATATTTAAGATTGGTCATCGAGAAAATTATATAATTAAATCAACATGCACAGTGGAAAAATGAAGGTAAATTCATACAAAATGTGGTTATGTACTCCAAATAATATCGCATGGCCAAGCTATGATATTAAGGAACTAGTTACTTCAACTAAATTGAACTTCTACATGTTTCCTTCAGCGTTTCTTATCAATTTTACTATTTGCAATTGGTCTACATAATGGGAATAGTTGTAATTTTTGCTCCAAGCGAAGACCTTTATAAACGCAATTATTAAAAGTCTCTGATTTAGTTTATAAAGGCCTAAAGAATTCTAAAATTCTTGATATAACTGATATTTCCCATTCCTAACTTCTCTTTCCTTTCAATTTGAAATGTTCTTTAAAATCTCTCTTCATTATTAGAGCCTCCATTTCAAAACTATTAATAGCTTAAATAGTACCTGGTAGGAAAATTATAGTGGAGTTTATCCCATTAGAGCCAGGGCTTTAGTTATCTAGCTAAACCTTGAAATAATCGAATTATTCCCATTCCTCATCACGAACCTTTGACTAATTTTTCCTTAAAAACTCGGCTAAGTTTACTCCATTCTTAGCTTCCATAGTATTTTAAGAATTTTGAGTGTTTTTATATTTACTATTTATTACATTTTGGTAAGCAGAGATTTATTTCCCGATAAATGATCAAAATTAACAATGAAGATGATAGGCTAGGTATATCCTTTAAGTAAGGAAGACTTGAACAAAGCAATAAAACTTCAATTTTTAAGCTCGAGCATATATAAAAGCCTCCATTGGAGAGAATGAAGTATCCGGAAGAAGTGAAATTAATAATTTTATCGAATATTTTACAAAACTTGACTTCTCCAAGAACTGATAGAGAAGGGAGGAGGACCTCATACTTCTTGATCTCTTAAAGAGAATGACCTCCTATACCTCTTACATTGGAGGTGCACTCCCAATCTTGAGGCTTATTAGTCTGGTCTAGGGAGACTGCAAAGTCCAAGATATTGACAATATGTCTGAAGCATTAGTCCCTTGAGTTATTTCGAGCTCAAAATAAATAATTTAGCTATATTTAGGAGTAGATCCTGGGTTATCATCTGTAACAAATTATGAATGGCATATTTAACTAACACGTTTCAAAATATTTACCTCTACAACATCGAAGCAGAGAGAAGGGCAAAACTGATAGTGAGGATATTTGAGGATAGGATTTGATATCAAGAGGATAATTTAATTTTGATTTATTCTACCAAAAACTCGAAGTTTTATATTTTGTTTTAAAGTTTTTATTAATCTAAGTGAGATTCTTATATCAAAGACTAGCCTCTCTTTGTGTTTTTACTATCTAAACCATTCTAAAATAGCTTTAGTTGTTTTTAGCTTTAACTTAACTTTTAAGCTATAAAATATTTAGACCCATATTTAAATAACCCATTAATACATTAGTGGGGTTTTGGGGTTTTGGGGTTTTGGGG